ATATAAGTTTTAGTCTTTCCAGCTTGAGCCATTCCCTGTATAATCCTTGATGAGAAGGGACCAAAAACGTTCGGATACTTATGACAAGTGCCGTATTATGACTGGATGTGTGTTTGCGTGGATATTTGCGACCCATAACTTACCTTCGTTTTAAAGTATTATCCGCCTCCGACCTCTTAAAATTATTATTATTATTATTATTATTATCATAGACCACACCTCATGGCATGAAAAGAAAATCAGCCAGTATGGGAGATGTGGTTGTTAACCAACCATGGGGAATAAAATAATTATAAAGAAGAAAAGTAATGGTCAAGACAGAGAAGCATGGGAGGGACAGGTGATGGTGAATCTAGTGAGCAGATTTAAATGCTTCCAGGGTACTGGCATTGCGCGTAGTAGTGTGCAGCGCAAGCCAAGCAGAGTAGGCGATTATTACGTAGAGCGAAACCTCCCTAATACCAGTATTTCATGACGACCACATAGGTACGAACTTAGAAGTTGCGACGCCGGCAGTATTGGTCCGGATGGCAGTCGTGAGTCAGTCAAGTGTCAAGTTATGCACGAATCGTGTGTTCCTCGTTGGAATAACCAACTTTATGACCAAAATGGCAGCCCAGACAATTGTGCCATTCAAACAATAGCCCCACGAAATGATAAAATAGTTCGTCTGTCACGCTCCTGGACCATTCCTAAATGCCATAACTTACATTAGATCTTATCTTGCTAAGATTCAACTCAAGTTGTATTAGCCATTCTGGGAGTTATCATGGGAGGCGCCGTGTTCAAAATGCTAAAAATTTACAAAGTAGTCGGCGCACGACGCGGCCTCTTCACACTCAAAATGCAGCCATTGTGTATCCTTGCGTTCCCACCTACGCCAGTCTCTGGTAGTACAAGTTCAACTGATCCAACTTTTCTCGTGGCTTCTCGATCCTTACGGTAGTGCGGTTGCGTTCCCGTTCCTGGTGTTCAAAGTGGACGCCGTCAGATCGTCCCGTCGCTTCCCGTCGAACCTTCACGTGGCGTCCTTTTGCACCCCGTCTAATGTGAACTTGGCTTTACTAACGGGTCTCGTCATTATTCCATGGGGCTTGCCTTGTGTACATCTCTCCCTCTTCGGTCCTACCTAACCAAAGTAGTTGGAAGGCTGTTGATTTACAAACTTGGCATTGGGCAAAAGTTTCTCTTATTGTTAGAGTGTTTGATACTGCTGTAATGTTAGAGTGTTTGATACCGCTGTAATGTTAGAGTGTTTGATACCGCTGTAATGTTAGAGTGTTTGATACCGCTGTAATGTTAGAGTGTTTGATACAGCTGTAATGTTAGAGTGTTTGATACCGCTGTAATGTTAGAGTGTTTGATACCGCTGTAATGTTAGAGTGTTTGATACCGCTGTTTTCGAATTTTGTATGGTGTTTGTTTTACTATGCCAATTCAGATCTACGGGAAACGTACATTAGCATTGTGGAGGTTCACGTCAAAGCAATAGCGGTACAGCTCACCGTGACAAATCACGCACCTTCGCCTACGTACTGCGTTGAATCAACACCTAGCGGAAAGTCACTGGGTACTCAAACTCATGTAACCTGCTCAAACAACACTCTTGGATATGTGGCCATTGGCAATCTTTGGGGAAACACGGCATACTCGCTCGTGGGCTATATCCGTTATGGAACCACCAAGCAGTACTGCGTCTCAGTTTCTCACACAGTTACAACACACGTTTCAGGTGAGTTCTGCTTGCACAAGAGAGAGGTTGGAAGCTTTGTTACAACTCTGAGTTTCGAGTTCTGCTTCCATATATTATAAATGATGTTACTTGCCTAGTTGTTACAGGGGAAGGTCGCCATAAAATAGGAACTTCACAACCCTTTTCGAAAAATACACTGATTCCAATGGTGAAGGTCCCAGGTTGATCGGATCTACCGTCCCCGAGTTATATCTGCTTGAGGTTGTCAATACATTTGGTGACATCATGGCGACGTCATTAACTTGCCCAGACTAGGCCAGATTTATGACGTCAGAGATACAGATTTTGTGTTGGACTAGATGGTTAAAAACAAATCTCTTTCTTGTTCCTCTGCAACAACGAAATTATTTTTTCTTATTATTTTTTTAAAAGTGTGAACAACAAAGGAAGTGCTACAGCATTACATAATAGGTGTCAAACATAGTGCTAACGTATATAACTGAGTGCAGCCACAAAGCAAGAGGTGATACAGTGCAACATGACACAACATTTACATCTGATAACCAGCTACGAGAACAACTTTAGCGCGACTACATGCTTCTTTTGTTTACAAAGAACAGGATTATGCACACGAATACATACAGCTTCCAGAACCTTCAACTGCTTAACATAACTTGCACGGCACAAAACAGAAAAGTGAGAATCATCGTACACACTAAGACAATCTGGACGTGATAACAAGTGACACTGTTCTTTGTAAACAAAAGAAGCATGTAGTCGCGCTAAAGTTGTTCTCGTAGCTGGTTATCAGATGTAAATGTTGTGTCATGTTGCACTGTATCACCTCTTGCTTTGTGGCTGCACTCAGTTATATACGTTAGCACTATGTTTGACACCTATTATGTAATGCTGCAGCACTTCCTTTGTTGTTCACACTTTTAATTAATTATGCTGTTATAAAATGTTCTATTATTTTTTTCTTATTATTTTTAGAATTGCGATCAACAGAACGAGCTGAACCGACATTTCACAAAGGCTTTTATTATATTCAAAAAACGAGTGGATACGAAGCCAGTGAAGAACATGGAAGAAAGAAAAAAATGTGATATGGAAGAATCATTTCTTCCATATCACATTTTTTCTTTCTTCCAGAAAAAAAAGAAAAAAAAGAAAAAATGTGATATGGAAGAATCATTTCTTCCATATCACATTTTTTCTTTCTTCCAGAAAAAAAAGAAAAAAAAGAAAAAAAAGAAAAAATGTGATATGGAAGAATCATTTCTTCCATATCACGTTTTTTCTTTCTTCCATGTTCTTCACTGCCTTCGTATCCACTCGTTTTTTGAATGTAATAAAAGCCTTTTGTGAAATGTCGGTTCAGCTCGTTTTGTTGATCTTCTTATTTTGTTAGGGATTTTCCACCAGGGAATGTTACCTTTTTACTGGGAACCCTAAATGAGACTTTGTGGGAGCGCGAAACAAAGCAGACGACCCGGCCAGGCGACAAGATGGAGGCAGCGCATTCCACCTGTCGGCACTAAGATACGCAATGGAATGGAAACCATACCGGAAAATTGATTTAGAATTGTTTTCAGACGGGATGTCGGTAGGGGGCCACATGTATCATACCAATGTTTGAAAACACCCGACTTCATTGGGACAATGGAGAGCCAAAATATTTAAAATTTCCCCATCTAGTCGTATACAAAGTGTCTCTAAAGTTATAAATCTGGCCCAGTCTGGGCAAGTTAATGACGTCATTATGATGCCACCACATTTAGTGCAACCCTCGAGGTTGTATCTTTCGGGAACTGCTCCGTCCGATTAACCTGATACCTTTACCATTGTAATCAGTGTATTTTTCGGTATGGCTTGTTAGGTTTTCAAGTTAGGGTGAACTTCCCCTCTAAGTAGCCTTTAGGACCTTCTTGTTCGCGATCCCTCTATTCTGAAAAATTTCCGTGACCAATAAGCATTTTCAAAGTCACAGAATATCGAACATTGCATGATGCGGAACCGTGGAGGCATTTAACGCACATAACTTGGCACCAGACAATGTGCGGATAGAGTGTAAAAGACAACCAAGGCGATAAGTATCAGTAAACGTTAGGAGGTAACTTCGAGAGATCAGGAAAAGCAACAGCGCCAACAACTCTGTACAGAACGAGAAAACGCCAAAAGCAACAGAGACAACAACTCGGTACAGAAAGAGGAAAAAACAAAGGCAACAGAGACGCTAATGAGCTACGTAGTACTTACAATGTACGCCGTAGTACATGTATAGGGCCGGCACGGATCTTGAACAGACGGAGTGAAGACAGACCCTTAACTTCTCTGAGCAGCGTGAGCCAAACAGAAAGGGCAACAAAGAGAAGGGAGTGCAAAATAGTGGACGAGTTAAACTTGGGGAGTAAGAGCGAATTTCTAGCTCTTAGAGAAGAGAACCTTTTAGAACCATGAGACCAGGTGGACACAACTTAAGCTTAAAAGAATGAACAAGAGCAGCCAGGTGTTCGCTGCGTCTATTTGATGACGAGGTTGTGTAAGCAAGTTTATAAAGAGCGTATGATGAGAGCATGCTGAGTTTACGGAGTAGAATTTTAAGGCTTTTCTTGTGGTGAATGTCAAGCTTTGCAGCAGCGGATGAGATTAATCGAGCCCAAGATGTATCGGTAAAATGGAATATTGGGAAATGGTAGGCTGAATAAAAAAAGAAGTTTACAAGAAACTGGGAGGAAGGAGCAGTGAGGGGGGGGGGTGAGAATTCCAAAGGATTAACAGAAAATAATCCGTCTCCTTTCTACCGAAGTTGACATGCGAAGACAATTTTCAGAGTGAACAATACCCTCCCGTCTTTCAATTCAGCGAAGTGCAATGATAGAAAATATAATCCGCTACCCAAAAGGTCCTCTCAAAATAGGTTGTTTCTGAAGTCTGGAAAATTATGCAACAGCGTTCGTGTTGAAGAATACCAGACTCAAGCTTTAGGTTCACTGACATGACACATCAGATGAATTAATTGCCGATCAGCGTTTATAAATGGTTGTTGGTGGCTTCTTTTCTGTCTTCTTCATTTCTCTTCGCTTACTGCAGCTCCTACGCTGGCACCAGGTAATGTTTCGTTAACACCTCATTTTGACTCGATGCTTGTAACTTGGTTGCCAGTGGATACAAAATTCTTCAATGCACTGCCCGTTGGATATCGAATAACACACAGAAGTGAATGGCCTGATGACAATGGTAGCACTGAAGTGAACGTTAATTTCACATCAGTCGACCTGCAAAATCTCCATCCAGGAAGAGACTACAATGTTAGTGTTTCGGCCGTTTCTGCCGCTGGTGTCGGTCCTGCATTGCAGACCACTGCAAGGACATTGCTTTTCGGTAAGTCAAAAGTCCTCATTCAGCTTTTACCTGTAGCAAAACCCTGGCATACATGTACAAGTGACAAAGTGAAGGTGTCGACGCGGAGGAGGAGAATTCATTTATACAAGTGAGAGAAAGAGAGAGAGAGACAGAGAGAGAGAGAGAGAGAGAGAGAGAGAGAAGGAGGGAGAGAGAAAGAAAGAGAGAGAGAGAGAGAGAGAGAGAAAGAGAGCGAGACAGAGTGACAAAGGGGAGGAGTCGAGGCGGAGGAGAAGAATTCATTTAGACAAGAGAGAGAAAAAGAGTGAAAGATGGAGAGAGAAAGAGAGAGGGAAAGAGAGAAAGTTACATTTATAAAGACAGGTAAGTCTAACAAATGAAGACTGAGACCTCTAAAACAGGGTTTTTACGCCTGAAAGCAGGTGCATGATTTAACAAGCAGGTTGTCAGTCTAGATTTTATGCGGAGATGGAGAAAAAATGCGCAGAATGTTTGAAATGAGATGAAAAGCAGAAATAATAAGAAAAAATGAAATGAAAGCCTGCTCACAACCCCGCCCAGGCTTGCGAACTGGGTATGGTGGATTAAGGGGGCAGCCTACCCATAAATTTCATATGGCATTCAATTGACCGTAACTTTGGTGTTTCTCAATGGATTTGAGTGAAAGTTTGACCACACACTCCTGCCACTATGCTGGCCCTCAGGACATGATTTACAAGTTCTTGCGCCTCACTGACAGGCTTTCCAGGCCGGAAAAACTCAAATTTCTGGCATAGTGCCACGGTGTGCGAGCCACCCAGGAGCCAAACAAATGCATTTACATTTTTTTCACATTTTCGTGCTCATTCTGTTCATGCGCGGGACTCAAACCTAGAACAAGTCCAGAAGCAGCCATGGGTGATGGGGTAGGGCCCCTCAACGAGGCCCTGGAATCTGTCACAACGGAACGAGTGGGCGTTCTCTCACACACTCCCACAGACCGAAGTCAATTTTAGAATTTTTTTAGGTTTACCACGTGTTACGAGGTCGTACCTTTGATACAACATCCAGTGCTGGGACCTCCACAGCAAGCCATTTCCACAGCGCTGCACACCAAATCCAGGATATCCTCAGAAACCGGCAAAGACTACCACTCACGTTTCACTACTGCCTAGTACTGAATCCTACCTGACTTCTTGACACGACTCAAACTTGCCAAAGTCACTAAATCAACGTCAACGACAATAATCAAGCCACATATCTGCAACGTCACGAGGGTGCTGGCAAAAGTCCTGCTGTACGGCGGCGGGCTTCGCCCGCCGCCGTGCAGCCCAATACGTGGCTCAAAAACCTGAATTTTTGGACTTGGAGCAAAATTCTGCACACTTTCACGTGTTTCCATGATACGACAAGTTGCGCACGGTCTGCTCACATTCAAATACAGTGCTGCCAACAAATGACAGCGTGCAACAAAAAAATCTTTCCTTGCAAGGGCACATTTTCGGCCATAACTCTTGAACGGCCGGTCAGACCGGGACACAATTTTCAGAGAATTCGCAGCTATTCATGCTCTTTTAACTGACGTAGCACTCAATATGAATTTACAAATTCGATTTTTCAGCGAATTTTTGGGTAGTCTGCCACCTTAAGAACCCGGGTTCAACGAGTAAGCGCTCTCCACTCAAGGTGTTCACAGCAACTGATAGGAACTCATATGAGGAAATTATAGAAAATAAATAATAAGATAAAGAGAATAAATTTCAACGCAGCTCAATAAACGGAGCCCCATATACAGTACCTCAGAAAAGTGGATCTTTCGACTAGTGTTTTTGTTGACGTCACAACAAGATGATGTAGCTGCTTCGCAGAGACGTCTTACTGCACAAATTACAAATATATTTTATTATTCGATTAGAAAACCCAAGCGCTTTCAGAGCCCTCCGAAGAGAGTCCGGATGAAACCACTCACATATACCTCAACCGAAAAAGAAACGACCTGCCACCCGTTTGCTCGGCATTGATCGGCCAGATCCGCATACCGCCTGTCCTTCCGCGAGTTACTGACACTGAATCTGTCCTCAGCACAAACTGTCAACTCCATCCAGAATACAATCCTACGACTCGTAGAGTACAGAACTATATCTGGTCTTAGGGTGGTAAGTGCAACACAGCTAGGGAAAGAAATCTTTGCACTAACTGTATCGACAAGAAGTTTCCAGTCTGAGGCCGCTGACAGGAGATCAGTCGTAACCAACTTTCGTCTGGGTTGAACGCGCAGTGGCTTCTCTCCCGCCTTACAAAACGAGGTGAAGTCAAACTCATTTGAATTTTCGGTTTGTACATTGTTTGCGGCAGCGTGCATTCGAATCTCCTCACACATGTTCCTTACAATGACCCCGAGTACGCTGTCGTGGCTCGAAGTGTAACGTCCCTGGTCCAGCGCTACGCGACAAGCGCCAAGCACGTGACGCGTAGTACAGGCCAAGGCACGGCACAAACTTCAGTGCCGATCCACTATCGTGTTTCCCCAATGGCGTAAGTTTATCGGAGAAGGTAGCACGTCGAGGGTTGACGCGAGAAGAAATTTCAAATCCTTACCAGTACCACCGCACAAAAGGGATTTCCACAAAAGGTCCTGCCACATCCCCAATGTCCACTCCAACCACTTGCCTTGCACCCGAAGAGTCTTCAGCCTCAAAATCTGCTCCTGCGCGTTGATCTCCTCAAATGTTTGAAGGAGATCCTTCCTCGGGGGTTTGGAATGCTGCTTCGGGGCACGAGCACCCACCCCTGCACGATGACTTGACGAATTAGTGCTTGTAGCTCTGATGTAACAAAGGGGCACTTTGATCGGCAGAGTCAGCACCGGTCCTGTAGCTATGCAGAAGACGTTACTTCAGTAACTCATTGAAACGTTTTTGCAATACACTGATGTAGCTGATCAAAGGAAATAAATATTTCCATCAGTTCTAACAACATGCACGATGAGCTAGGCACCAAAGCATAGCGTAGGACCCTGAGCTTCCAAGCTAGGCACCAAAGCATAGCGTAGGGCCCTGAGCTTCCAAGCTAGGCACCAAAGCATAGCGTAGGACCCTGAGCTTCCAAGCTAGGCACCAAGGCATAGCGTAGGGCCCTGAGCTTCCAAGCTAGGCACCAAAGCATAGCATAGGACCCTGAGTTTCCAGGCTAGGCACCAAAGAATAGCATAGGACCCTGAGCTTCCAAGTTAGGCACCAAAGCATAGCATAGGGCCCTGAGCTTCCAAGCTAGGCACCAAAGCATAGCGTAGGGTCCTGAGCTTCCAAGCTAGGCACCAAAGCATAGCGTAGGGCCCTGAGCTTCCAAGCTAGGCACCAAAGCATAGCTTAGGACCCTGAGCTTCCAAGCTAGGCACCAAAGCATAGCGTAGGGCCCTGAGCTTCCAAGCTAGGCACCAAAGCATAGCGTAGGGCCCTGAGCTTCCAAGCTAGGCACCAAAGCATAGCGTAGGGCCTTGAGCTTCCAAGCTAGGCACCAAAGCATAGCGTAGGACCCTGAGCTTCCAGTCTAGGCACCAAAGCATAGCGTAGGACCCTGAGCTTCCAAAGCATAGAGTAGGGCACTGAGCTTCCAAGCTAGGCACCAAAGCATAGCGTAGGGCCCTGAGCTTCCAAGCTAGGCACCAAAGCATAGCGTAGGTCCCTGAGCTTCCAAGCTAGGCACCAAAGCATAGGGTAGGGCCCTGAGCTTCCAAGCTAGGCACCAAAGCATAGCGTAGGGCCCTGAGCTTCCAAGCTAGGCACCAAAGCATAGCGTACGGCCCTGAGCTTCCAAGCTAGGCACTAAAGCATAGCGTAGGGCCCTGAGCTTTCAAGCTAGGCACTAAAGCATAGCGTAGGGCCCTGAGCTTTCAAGCTAGGCACCAAAGCATAGCGTAGGACCCTGAGCTTCCAAGCTAGGCACCAAAGCATAGCGTAGGACCCTGAGCTTCCAAGCTAGGCACCAAAGCATAGCTTAGGACCCTGAGCGTCCAAGCTAGGCACCAAAACATAGCGTAGGACCCTGAGCTTCCAAGCTAGGCACTAAAGCATAGCGTAGGGCCCTGAGCTTCCAAGCTAGGCACTTAAGCATAGCGTAGGGCCCTGAGCTTCCAAGCTAGGCACCAAAGCATAGCGTAGGACCCTGAGCTTCCAAGCTAGGCACCAAAGCATAGCTTAGGACCCTGAGCTTCCAAGCTAGGCACCAAAACATAGCGTAGGACCCTGAGCTTCCAAGCTAGGCACTAAAGCATAGCGTAGGGCCCTGAGCTTCCAAGCTAGGCACTAAAGCATAGCGTAGGGCCCTGAGCTTCCAAGCTAGGCACCAAAGCATAGCGTAGGACCCTGAGCTTCCAAGCTAGGCACCAAAGCATAGCATAGGGCCCTGAGCTTCCAGGCTAGGCACCAAAACATAGCGTAGGGCCCTGAGTTTTCAAGCTAGGCACCAAAGCATAGCGTAGGACCCTGAGCTTCCAAGCTAGGCACCAAAGCATAGCGTAGGACCCTGAGCTTCCAAGCTAGGCACCAAAGCATAGCTTAGGACCCTGAGCTTCCAAGCTAGGCACCAAAACAAAGCGTAGGACCCTGAGCTTCCAAGCTAGGCACCAAAACATAGCGTAGGACCCTGAGCTTCCAAGCTAGGCACTAAAGCATAGCGTAGGGCCCTGAGCTTCCAAGCTAGGCACTAAAGCATAGCGTAGGGCCCTGAGCTTCCAAGCTAGGCACCAAAGCATAGCGTAGGACCCTGAGCTTCCAAGCTAGGCACCAAAGCATAGCTTAGGACCCTGAGCTTCCAAGCTAGGCACCAAAACATAGCGTAGGACCCTGAGCTTCCAAGCTAGGCACTAAAGCATAGCGTAGGGCCCTGAGCTTCCAAGCTAGGCAGTAAAGCATAGCGTAGGGCCCTGAGCTTCCAAGCTAGGCACCAAAGCATAGCATAGGGCCCTGAGCTTCCAAGCTAGGCACCAAAACATAGCGTAGGGCCCTGAGCTTTCAAGCTAGGCACCAAAGCATAGCGTA